GGACCCCAAACAATGTCAAGCCGGCTGTCTGCGCCATCCCGCCGCGTGGCCTCAAGATGGCCGTCACCTTCATCGGCAACAGCACCGCCATCCAGGAGCTGTTCAAACGTATCTCTGAGCAGTTCACCGCCATGTTCCGCCGCAAGGCTTTCCTCCACTGGTACACGGGCGAGGGCATGGATGAGATGGAGTTCACCGAGGCTGAGAGCAACATGAACGACCTGGTGTCTGAGTACCAGCAGTACCAGGACGCCACGGCCGAGGAGGAGGGCGAGTTTGAGGAGGAGGTGGATGAGGACGCCTAAAAAAGTGTTGTAGGGAGCTGAAGAAAGAAGAGAAGAAACCAAAAGGCAAAAAATTTCACAAAAAGAAAAAAATCTGTTATGGAAGGAAGGAAGGCTGAGACATGGAAGAGAAACAGGGTGAATATAACACGACCAAACTAACGTGCCACGGTTTACAGTTTATGTTGGCGCCATGTAGACTCTCCTCCCCAAATATTTTTTCTTCACCAAATCAGAAGCACTTCTCACACTTCACTCAAATCACATAGGATGAACTTCTACTGTTTCTTGGAAAGTAAAAATATTAAAATATAACAAATTTGTGCTTCACTGGTCAGCAGCCCAGCTGTGGATTTTTTTTCCAGTTAAAGCATTTAAACAAAGGTAAAGTCAAAGAATGTCAAGTGTCAGAAACCCTGCACGTGTGACTTTTGTTTTGGGAAAACCAGGCCTGTAACCTGAAAAGGTTTCATAAATGTGAACTCTCACTCTTATCAGTGTTAATTTATCAGTGTTAATTTCTTTTGCCATTTTCCATCACTGTTCCCTCAGATCTGCTCTGAGATAATGTGAATGTGGGCACACTGACCGTACCTATTCTTTTTCCTCATTCAGTTGCACAAGGACATTGATCAGCAAACACATGTACTGCTTGTGTCACACCCTCTGTGACGCTGTGGGTAAGATGAGGAAAAACCTTGTGCTTACAGAGGTGTGAGATTTTACTGGTCAACATCTCTATAAAGATTTTTCCACGTTGAACGGACGAGGGCAGCACATCCTCAGTCAAATCATTGTTATCTCTCTACAGTTGTCACTGTTTCTCAGAAAAGTGCCTGCAGACAGTTCAACACATCACACACCAGCAGGCTAATCACAGATTCTGTAAAGTCACCAGGCTCAACAAGAGCCTGTTTCACTGAGGTCCTGGACTTTACTGAGATAAACCAACACAGTTTCAATGCGACTGCAGTAGCGGGAGGATCTTTCTCAGATGCCAGCCAACGTTGTGAGGAAGGTCACACACTGCAGACGCCCAGGACCCAGTGCATGTCATAGAAAGCATGTTAGCCTTCACCCGCTCTGTTTTCCATTGATTACTATTGAGGAACTCAACATCTTGTGCTGAAAAAGAAACAGTATTTTCACTAGAAGCATGTATCTGCCAAATGTTGCATTTAAAATAGACCTGTGACCTCCATGTTTTTTTAACCTACATATTTAGTAAGTTCCATAGGCCCAACATTATGGGACTTACTCCAAACATAATGACATAAATATATTTGGATTCCAGTAAGAAAATCCAAGCAGTTACTGTGTCACTGGACAATGTTGCCTGCATCTGATTCTCATTCAAAAAGACAATACATTTGCTTGTTAAACTTAAACTTTGAGAAGAAAAAGTGAGAATTTCCAGCACTTTTCTGCATCTAAACCTCAGTTCAACAGCTCAACGTGTTGTTAAAGCTTCTTGCAACACATTTCAAGTGCTTTTAATTATGAAAGTGTAAAACAGCACTGAGTTTTTATTTTATAAAATGTTTTGTCCTCTGAAGACAGTTAAACCCTCTGGTTTATGTAGCCTGTACACTGAGCCACTACAGTGGGTATTCACACAGGTCTTGTGTGTTCAGCATGTTGGCTTTAAGTCTGTGTGTTGGTATCTTTTCATTCCCGTTGACTGTGAAACATTTGGGAGAAATAAAAAGGCTTTTGAAGGAAGAAAATACACTTGTATTATCAGCTTTTGGTGATTTTTTTAGGGTGTTTGTAATGACTTTTCACTGTGAGCTTCCAGGAAGTCGACTCTTTTCTTATGACAACAAATGGAGCGAGAGCTGCAATGTGAAGCCAAGTGTCCAGAAACATCCGTCCTCTTTCCCATCTCGTAAAACGTGGTCACATTTCAGTGATGAGTCAAATGCTCCTTTGTTTTTTACTAATGTTTTGTTTGTCAAACAAAACATTGAAAACCTCAGTATTATTCCATCATAGTGGAATTTTCTATTTGTGTGCAGTGTATAAAGCTACACGGTAGTGAAAAAGGCACGTCACTGTTCCCTGAAGCTCAAGTCAACTTGTTCTGATTTCTCATTTTGTCTGATCAGCCCTCGACACAGTAGTGAAAAAGGCACGTCCCTGTTCCCTGAAGCTCAAGTCAACATGTTCTGATTTCTCATTTTGTCTGATCAGCTCTCAGAAACAAACATGTTGGGTTCACTGTCAGAAAACTAACAAATATTTGCATTTGAGGGCCATTTTGCTTTGACTTCAGTGATTAATCAACTATCAAACCTGTAAATTAACTTTCAGTCATTTTCCATTTCTAGAGCACCAGTTGGTTTCTGGGTGCCAGAGGGAATAATGTAGCTGCATGTATAGTGGGGGCCAACGGGGGCCCCGTGTGAGGTTAATCTGGTCGTGGCCACGCTGGGCAGGGAAAGACGAAGGTTTTATGATATACTTTACTTTCACTGATTCTGCAGACATACACAACTCATCTGCTTTAAAATAAAAGTGAGCTGCAGCTCAGATGTTATAGTAAAATAACTGGGATTTATGACTGAATGACACAAACCAATGGTGACCTCTAGCCTAAAGGTCACCACTTAGAGCCTCTGTGTAAGGTGGACTCCCCCTTCAGCCAAGGGGGGGCTGTTCCCGGACTGCATAAAGGGTGGACTCCCTCTTCAAACTCCTGCTCTCACTGAGCAGATGGATGAGCAGACCAGAGAAGCCTGGGGGTGAATCTGCTGAGCGGATGCTTGTGGCTCCCATCCAGAACTGACGGTTTTTACCGAAGCGTCCCGAGCGTCGCCGATCTCATATGGTCCACAAACCCGAGATCAGCCGAAACTCTTCAGCTGCTCCCGTTCTGGCCCCACTGAAGTCTGTTGTCGGCGGGTTGGGGGTGATGGGGTGGGCGAGATTAATGAAGTAAAGAAAAAAGGCGATTCCATGAACCATCACTCCTGAGCCCCTCCCTGTCCACTGGTTTCGGATCCGAGGCTTGACAAAGGTAATTACCGCGATCCATTTATAATTATATTGTTTTTTAGGCTTTCACTTGAACAGGGAGGTGGTGGGTTAAATACTGCAGCTTTTCTTTTTGCTGTTTTGACTATTATCTTGTGTTTCGCGGTCCCACTCGGCAGTAAGTGCTGATTCAGGGCGTATAACCAACAGAAACGCGGCGAATGCGCGCAGGATGGCAGCAACTAAAGGGATCTCCTCTCCAGAATAAAACGGTGATTGGTTTCCAGACGTAACAGAGGGGAAAACTCCGAATATCCTTGTAAATACGATACACTTCCACAGTAGTGAGACAGGACTCCAGGCTTTGTTCATATGAGTCATAATCTAATAAGGTATTTGTGCACCGAATGGCCTCCTCTTCCTCCTTTGGGCCAAAAATGGGTTAATTCTGTAAAGCCTTTCTGGTGCTGACTTGGAGATTGCCAGGATTAACACCGTGTTTACACCAGGGCTGATAAGTGGATCACCCAGTGCCTTTAACAAACGATGCTGTTTTATGAATCTGGCCTGTGGTGCATTATCATGTGTGGGATGTGCTGTCTCTCCTTTCTGGTTCATCCATATGAGAATTGTTACTCAATGTACTCGGTCCCTCCAGCACATAGAGCCTCTGACTAACTATTTGTCCCATACAGGAGTCCTTTACAGTGTTGTCTGAGGCAAGGAGTGAGACGGTTTGAATAAAGCTGGATGAAAAATCACCTCACATGCCATTTGTTGTGAAACAAACCTGGGTAGCAGGTGATTTTTGCTGCACACTGAGATCAGTGATTGTACGGCAAACGCGCAAACCGTTATCCAGCTGGTGTCTGTGGAGCATTTAGAAAGGAGCAGAGACAGAGCGAATGCATGCTTTATTCATAGACATAAATATTGATTACGTACAGATTAGCTCATCTGACAGTGGCGA